GGGTATACTGCATCGAGGGATGATGGCATATTCTTGGATGCTTCTGAGCCTTCAGAGGTGTTTTAAGAGTTTAAAATTCTTTATGGACCTCTGAGGCCAACTACTGTTCATACTCTACTGGTATGAATAAGCAGGCTTGTTCTAAGAAAATCAGAATGCTTTTCTTTTTATTTATTTATTTGTTGTTGTTTTGATTGTTCAAGACAGGGTTTCTCTGTGTAGCCCTGGCTGTTCTGGAACTCACTCTGTAGACCAGGCTAGCCTCGAATGCAGAGATCCATCAGTGCCTTCCAATCTTGGGATTAAAAACATGCACCACCACCCTGCCCTTGTACTTTGGTTTTTGTTTGTTTAAAGGCACAACATGGAGTTGTTTTGTTTTGAGACAGGGTCTCTCCATGTACCTTGATAACTTAGAGCTTGTTGTGTAGACCAGGCTTGTGGACTTGCAGCAATCCTCCTGCCTCTGCTTCCAGAATGGTAGGATGACCAATGCTACCATACCTAGCCAGCAAAGTTTTTCAAGAGGGCTTTGTAAGCTCAGTAAATTCGAACTTAGCTCCTTGAAGCTCTCTGCCTGATTCTGGGTGATGGGTCTCCAATGTGACATTCCAGTTAACTGGCTGCCTGAAGTTTCCAGTTGTGTCCAGTTGCTGGGAGAGAACAGACCCTAATTGCAGCTCTGTAAATAACTGCTACCATGAAAGGAAGTACAGGGAAGTTTGTTATTTGGAGGGATCAGACAGTGAGAAAAAGATGAATATTTCAATTTAATTTAACAAATGTAATTTACTCGATAGTTATGAGTCATGGATAGCTAAAGATAAACTAGTTTCTTTTTTTTTTTTTTTTTTTTTTTTTGTTTTTTTGAGAAAGGGTTTCTTTGTGTAGCCCTGACTGTTCTGGAACTTACTCTGTAGACCAGGCTAGCCTCGAACTCTCGAACTCCGCCTGCCTCTGCCTCCCAAATGCTGGGATTAAAGGCGTGCGCCACCACCACCCGGCCCTAGTTTCTTTTTATAACCAACAAATAAAAAATGGAACCCTAGATAGCAACTGTGTGCTGAACTCAAGCCTTCTTTTTGTTTTACTCAGTTTCGTGTCCTTAATTCTTTATTCATTTTTAATTTTTTTTGACATTTTTAATTTGGGGGTGTTTTGGACACTGTGAAGACCTGACTGGCCTTGAACTCTCAGATCAACCCACGTCTCCTCCCAAGTGCTGGGATTAAAGGCTGAGCTACTCCAGCCCTGTTCCTATAGCTCTATTGTCATATATCGCCTTCTGATCTGGACCAGCAGGTTGTTCTTCAGTGGCAGGATGCTGAGGAGGAAGGACCAGAGGATTAGAGATAAAGGAGATAGAACAGGTAGCTCTTATAGCAAGTTTACTAAAAAGTACACTATCTTATGTACTTTTGCAGAGGGACATGGAACAGTCAGTGGGACACTATCATACAGTGGGACAAAGTCAGCAGGCCCCTGATCAAACAGTGTTGCCTAAGGGAAACACAAGATCTCTCAAGGGTGTCAGACCTGGGCACATAGCAGCCTTAGTGCTGAATACAGCAGTCATTGGACAGGGGTTGGGTGGGTGGAGGATGTTAGTTTAAAAGTTAAGTTCCAGTGTTGGCCCCACCCCAAGTCTAAACCTTGCCAGCCTGCCTCTGGGCTAGGACATAGAACTAGATTCCTTTGTCCTTTTGTCAGGGCCTCCAAGAAAGCCTGGGATTGGCCTAGTTCTCAACAGTATATGATATATTGATTATGTATATATTTGTAAATATATACTGTGTGTATGTGTGTGTGTGTGTGTGTGTGTGTGGCTGGGAATGGGACTCAGGACACTGTGTATGCTTCACACATGCTTTATACTAAACTGTGTTCTCAACTCATATATTTAGACACTGTTAATGTAGATCAGTTACAAGTTTATCACATGCCAGGATCTGTCACAGATTAGTACAATATCTGAATTCATTATCTCATGATCTCTAAAGCTACTTTTATGGTGGTGTGTGTGTGTGTGCGTGTGTATGTGTGTACACACCTTGGATGTCATTCCTCAGGAACAAGATATCTTGATGTTTGAGCCTGGAGCTCTCCAAATAGGCCTGGCTGACTGCAGAGGATCCTCCTGTGGCTGCCTCCCTAGACTGGGACTGCAAGCATCTTCCACTGTGCCTGGCTTTTTACACGGATTCTGGGAAATAAACTCAGGTCTCCATGCTTACATAACAAGCATTTTACTGACTGAGCCATCTCCCCAGCTCCCCTCCTTTTGCGGGGGAGGAGGGAGGATGGTCTCTTTACGTTGCCCTGGCTGTCTTGGGCCTTGCTATGGAGATCAGGGTGGCCTTGAATTCACATACATCTACCTGCCTTTGCCTCGTAAGTGCTGGGATTAAAGGTGTGCACCACTACACACAATTTTTTAATGTGGAGGGAATCATTAATTTATTAATTAGATGTAAACTTTTTAGTCATTCTGCACATCTAAACCTATTTAGTTCAAAGACAGAAGGCTTATCTTGCCTGGCAGACACTGGGTTTGGACCCAGCATAGAGAGAGAAAGAGCAAGGGGACTGTTGCACATCTGTAACCCCAACACTGCCGGGAGCCAAACCCAGGAAACTACCTGCTATTCTAAGAGAACCCAGGAAGTTACCTGCTGTTCTTGAAAGCCTAGTTGCTTTGATGGATCCCTGAATTCTTTGAACACTGCAAGGGTAAGGGGTCTCAAGTCTTAGAGACCACCCAGAGCTGCATAGCTGGAGTAGCGTAGTGAGGACCCTGTCTGGTGACTTGGACAGAAGTGGAGCTTGGTCTTGAAAGGGAATCTATGACATGAAGCTGGGTTGTCCAAGCAAAGGTTCACACAGGGGAAGGCTGAGGCCAAGGCCGGGGCACGGCTCGTTGTCCGATGTCAGTGCCTGCAGTGTATGCAGGGCTCCAGGTTCCATCCTAGTGTCTTCCCCACAAACAACCCCACTTTATTTTGAGACAGGTTCTCTTACTCAGTCTGGGGCTCATTGATCCAGTAAAGCTGGCCTAACTCCTGGGATGGGCCAGTGTAGTCCCCATCCCCCACCCCTGCCTCTTGCCAGCCAAGTGCCAGGTTTTTATTCTGTTAGGGATCTAAATTCAGATCAGAATGCTTGTGCAGCGGGTGCTAAAACAGCTAAGCAACTGCCCAGCCTTTCCCCACCCCCACACCCCCACCTTTCCTTTTTTTACACAGACTTTCACTCTGTAGTCAAAGCTGGCTTGAGACTCACTGAATAGCCCACTTTAGCTTTACACTGGTAAACTTCCTGCCTTAGGCTGCCAACTGTTAGGATTACAGACATGAGCCACCATGTCTGGCACTCTCTGGTCAAATAATGAACACTATGGGTATAACTGGTAGAGTGCTTGCCTTGTATGTTCTTGAGGTTCTATCTTTAGCAGCAGAAGGGAGGCATTATCATCTGGAAATATGGAGCCTGACCACTGTGGTGGAGGTGGCTGAGCTGGCCTTACCATTATTGTCCTGGGGGCTGGCTCATTAGGCCCAACTCTCTATATCCTGGATGGGTGCACTGTGCTTCTTGGGCATGTTTGTGGCCAGCAGGTACCAGGTGCTATGTGACCTCTTGTCCTGCCTTACAGGTCCTGTGAGACTTTCACCCCAGCTTACAGAGGAAAGAACCACTCAGCAGTGATCGATATGCCAGGCCCTAAGGAGCTATCCTAAGACCAGGCTTGATTCTTGCCCCAGAGTTGCCCTGTGAGTCTCCCTTAGCCTCCCACTGCTCAGTTGCAAGAACATCTTGATCTCAGAGGAAACCTATCTGATTGTGCTTCCCAGAACTGGGGGTTGAGAGCAGAGGGCAGTGTGTGGAGCACAGCAGACCCCTGGGAAAGCCTGTGCCCAGATGTGGCAGAAGCAGCAGCCTGGCGCTAAGCTTCAGGGGTGCTTACAGATGTGGCACCCCAGCGCCATTCCTGCTGTTCCTTTTGGAGGTGGCAGCTAGAGGCACCCACATGCAGTAGGACATGGAATTGGTACCTAGAGGTACCATTGGGGCAAGTGGCCTCCACCTGTTTTGTTTTTGGTTTTTAAAAAAAAGCCAAACGAAAATTTGTGTAGCCCCAGGGCATTTTTGTAGCCCTAAATGGCCTAGAATGCCCTATATAGCCCAGGCTGGCCTCACTCACTCTTGACCCTCCTTTCCCAACCTCCTGTGTGTTGGAACTCCAAGTATTCACCACCAAACTCAGTCTTCACTGCCCCCTCCTCCCCTCCTCTCTCTCTCTCAGCCTTGCAGCCTTCCCCTCATAACTACAGGGCAAGTCCATGGTTCCATCTAGTACCTACCTGGTTCAGTGGAACCAAAGTCACAGAGGCTAAGGAAGACTGACTCCCTCCCCTGAAAAGCCGTGAACTTTCCATGCTGTAAATGGTGGCTCTTTCTCTTCTTCCACTTAAGGCTGTCTCTCCCATCGTTCTCACAATGCACCCCTTTACTCCCACTCACCTTGAGGCTTTCTCTGAATAAAGCTCATTCTGGCTCAGCTCTCTGCTCCTTGATCTAACCTGAAGTCAACAGTGAGGATTCTAACCTAAACCTGTGTGTGATGCACACGTATGCACATGTGTGCATGCAGTTGTGTGGCTTTGGGTTTAGGAACTTAGCATCTAGGTCAGACTTCTCACATCCAGGAACTTGTGTGTTTTGGACATGCTGGGGATATATCTACCCAGCTCAGGGGTCAGCATAAGCAGCCTCTATGCTGTATTACTAGCAGATGATTAACGTCCCCTCCAGTCCTCTGGCACTTTTGTAAATAACTTTAGGATGAAAACATCAGACTTGGCCATTTGTCAGGCACGAAGTGTGTTCACAGTATTGTGTAATCTTTACCAGAACTTCCTCATCGTTCCACGCTGTCACTGTCCCCTTGCCTCTGCTCCCATAGCTACTCAGCTTCCAGTCCTGTGCTATTTGCTATTCTGTGTCTGGATAGTTTTGTTTGCAGGCCCATACCGTGCTGCAGCATGGGTCGGTGCCTCTCACTGCAGCAACACACACTCCATTGTGGAGTGTCCTGGCTGGCTTAGCTCAAACAAGAGCAGGCAGATGTCTGAAGACCTGCTCCCAGTCCTGGCTACACAGCAGTCATGTGGTGAGTCTTTGCATAGCCTCTTGTGGGAACATAAAACTGTTTCCCCAGTTTTCACCTAGTGTGTAAGAGTTCCAATTTTTTTTCAAATTCTTAACAATTTTATCATCTTACTTTAAAATAGAAACAAAAAAAAAATCAGGCCTGATCATGCAGACTACAACTCTTGGGAGTTGTAGAAAGATAGATAGTTCAAGGCCAGCCTTGAAAAACTGCAACTTAATGACAAGTTGTCTTAAAATATGTGGGTGGCAATGCAGCTCAGTGAAGCCCTGTGTTCAGCCCCTGTGTCTCGCCTCAGAAAAATGTTCTTTCCATTGTGGCTTTGATACACATTTCTTCAGTAACTGTAACTAACAATGTTAAGACTTTGCAGAAGGGCTTTCCTGACAGAAGCTTGTGTTTGTTTCCCAGGCTGTCCTTGAACTCACAAGGCTGATCTTGAACTTCTGACTGTCTAGTCTTGGATGTTGGGATCATAGGAGTGTACCTTCGTGCTAAACTGGTGTGGGGCTGGAACCTAGGGCTTTATGAAGGCCAGGCAAGCACTCTGCCAACTGAACTGCATCCCAGCCTCTCCTCAGTACTCTAGTTTTTAAAATACTTTATGCATGTTATGTTAGACAAGCATTCAACCACAGAGCTAACATCCAAGCCCTAAATCCTCTTTTCCCTTTTTTTTTTTTTTTGAGATTGAAAAAAAAACTTTTTTATTGATTTAATTGATTGACTTGGGACAGAGTCTAGTATGGCCCAGGTTGGCCTCAAACTCATGATCTTTTTTCAGACTCTTAAGTGCTGGAATCACAGATGTCGTAATACTCAACACTATGTTTTAATTTACCACATTGTATTAATTACTGTAGCTTTGTAGTTAGTTTTAAATAAGGAAGTGAAGTCATTCACCTCTGTACTTCAAGATTAATTTGGTTATTTGTGCTCCCTAGAGATTCAATGAAACTTAGCATAGATTTCTCTACTGGAAAAAATATGCGCTTGGGATTTTTGGTAACTATTAAATCAGTAGACTGATCTGGGTAGAGAATCTTAACAGCATAGTATTAACAATGTTATCAACAGCAAGTCTTCCCTTCTGTCTCAGTTACTGACACATTTTTATGTTCTCTTGATCAACTAAAATCAACTCAATGTGAGATCTGCAGAGCCCAGCCCCTGCCTAGAATACCTAAGCAGTTGATTCCAGGAGCCTGCAGAGTAGGGTCCGAGCTGTGGTCCACAGACTCCAGGTGAAAGGAGCCGCTGGCTTCTCCATGGAGTTTTGAGGCCCTGGAGCTACCCCAGCTCTGTTTCTACTTCCTCACTTGTAGACTCTTTTCTGGGTTTTGAGAAACAGGCTGCAGTGTGGCCCATCAACCTCAGTATTGGGCTGATGGTGTGCACTACCACAAATGGCTTTCTCACTTGCAAATTCTTTTGTTCTGCAAAATCCCTAGGAAGTAATGATGGCTGGAGTTTGGCAGTTGCCCCTGAGTTGCTCCCTTTCCCATGGCCAGGTGGGCATGGCTCCACCCACTCCTCACACTGCACTCCAGGGATCCCCGAAAGAAAGGGGATAAGGCTTTTGGGTGCTGTGGAGGCTGTATTAGGGTCTCTAGAGGAACAGAACGGGTAGAATAGCTATATATTAAATATTGTGTAGAAAGATAAAGGTTTTTTTGAGACAAGGTTTCTCTGTGTAGCCCTGACTCTCCTAGAACTCCCTGTGTAGACAAGGCTGACCTTGAACTCAGAGATCCACCTGCCTCTGCCTCATGAGGATTAAAGGATTAAAGGTGTGCACCACCGCCTGGTTTAAATGTGTGTGTGTGTGTCCACACACGGAGACAGACGGACGGACGGACAGACATGTGTACTTAGTTTGTAACTTAGACTGACCTCAAACTGTTGATTGTACTGCCTCAGCCTATCAGTGTGCAAGCTTCTGAGCTACTCTTAACTGGATTTCGGATGGATGGATGGATGGATGGATGGATGGATGGATGGATGGACGGACAATATAGCTCATTGACTCACACCCCAATGCTACTTCTACTATTATAATGGATAGCATAAACTAAGACACCCAAGCACAAGTTAGGAAAACTGAGCCATGGAAAGGGGTAAAATGAGGCTGGGACAGGTAATCCTGTGTTGCCCATAATCCCAGCCCTCAGCCTTTCAGGCTGACTCTGGCGCCTGTTCCCACTTTGCTGCACCCACTCTTGGCCTTCTCTGGTAAGCTGCACAGTGCCCATTGTTGCCCTGGATAGTTTCCTGTGGGTTTACGTGTGCTCTGTAACTGGTGTTGGTATGTGACAGTGGGAAGCAGTGGCCTCAGCAAAGCAAGTCTCTCCTGCTTCTCCCAAGTACATAAGCCGTCAGGGGCCCTGGCTGGGAGTGATGGCCACACTCTGAGACTGGGAAGGTGCAAGATAGCTGGACCTTGGTCATTTCTAGGTCAGTTTCTGTCAAAAATTGACCAAAGGCCAAATTGAGTTCCTTAGAATTCCATTCAGTTTCCACGTCTGCTCAGCTCAGGAAGAGGAGGAGTCCAGGCCCTTCCTAGTGCAGACCACGAGGACAAGAGCTGGATGTGAGACCACTTGAAGCCCATGGGTGTATGAGGGCTCAGGCCCAGCATGCGTGCAGAGTGCACATGAGCAGCCTGCCTTGTGGAAATAGACTACAGAGTATGTGTGGGCTGCGGAGCCTCAGCTTTGAGGTCTCTAATGAGACTGTCCTGAAGCAGCCATCACACCTAGGGCTTGGACCTGCCTCCTCTTAAGACTCTTCCACAGGCCTAGATCAGGTTGTGTGTGGTCGGCAGCACCCTACCCTGGAAGAAATTGTAAATGGCCACAGTCTTTGGTAGAAGCTTCCCTAGTTCCTCTTTCTTGTCTTTTAGGTTCTCACAAGCATTTGCTATGAACTTAAGTGAACCCAGAGTCAGCTGTGGGGACTCTGGTGAAGTTTGTCAGTTAGATCCTGGGCTATCCACCCCAGCCCTCGCTTACCAGGAGTGTGTGTGTGTGTGTGTGTGTGTGTGTGGGCATAGTCACGCAGGCTTATCTTGTACTGGGAGCAGAACTCAGGGCTGTATGTGTGCTAGATAAATACCACACACTGGGCTCACCCAGCTCTGTGGCTTTAGATCTGCAATCTGAAGCTGTTCCTTACTTCAGTGGGGAGACCCCAGTGTCTCACTTAGTTTCTCTGTGAGTCTTCAGCCAACTCTAGTATCAGTCAGTACAAGGCTTAACAGCAAGAGGAGAGCTCACATTTAATTAAATTTGCATAGCCCTGGAAATTTATACAATTAGATGTGCCCCAGAGAAATGACCAAAACACTGATATGGTGGTATGTGCCTATAATCCCAGCCCTCAGGAGGATTAGGAGTTCAAGACCAGCCTGGGCTGTAGAGCCTGGCTGAAGAAAATGGGTTGATCAGTAGAGGTTAGTGGTGGACTGCTTACCTTGTACACATAAAGTTCTATCCACAACCCAAAGAAAATAAAGTACATAGGGCCACAGCTTTCCTACTTTCTGAGGCAAAGAATGATAATTTTATGGGGGAAAGGACTCAGAGCTCTCTGGGCTAGGCAGCCGATTTCTAGGGATGTCACTTGGTGATCTATGGGAGCTGTAAAGCCAGCAGGAAAATGAGGGTCACTCCAACAAGATCATTTGTTCAGGTCCCCAGCCCTGTTAAGTCTCTGCTAGAGAACTCCCACCCCAAGAAACCTTCACATCTGCCACATGTAGGAACAAACAGGTCATGTGGCCCATCCTGCACCCACAGTTCCTCTTTCTGCTAGAAACAGTCGGAAAGCTGGTTCAGTGCAAAATGACACGGCCTTCATGGAGAAAGCGTTCAGGGTTTGGGACCATGCCTCACAGTCCTCTACACAGGACTCCAGGAGGCACACATGGACCTGCTCTGCAGCCACAGGACAGTGAGAGGATGCAGGTCTCACCTGGCTCTCACCCGGTGAGGCACTGAGTCATGTGCCTGTAGGCTCTGAACCTTGGACCTCCTTCAGCACATGCTAGCCAAGAACAGGGTGGGTGAGGCAGGAAGGGAACAGGACACAGCTTGTCTACCCTGCCCCCCGCCCTGCAGATGCTGTTGGCTGCAGTCTCATTGGCTCTCCTGTTATTGGCCCTCCTCCTGCTCCTGCGACACCTGGGCTGGGGTTTGGTGGCTATCTGCTGGTTTGAGTTCGTGCAGCAGCCAGTCCGCAACCTGCTCATGGGTGACACAAAGGAGCAGCGTATCCTGCGCCACGTGCAGCAGCACGCAAAGCCTGGAGACCCCCAGAGCGTCCTAGAGGCCATCGACACCTACTGCACACAGAAAGAGTGGGCCATGAATGTGGGTGACGCAAAAGGTACGTGGCCCTCGTGTGCAGGCGACAGCCTATACGTGGGGAACCTGACGTGGGTATGGCAGTCCTTGTAGGAGAGCCTGTTAGAGGGAGAGAGAATCAGGACTCATGTTTCTATCTATCCCCCGTGGAGACTGATCATTTACACTTGAAAGAGCCAGGTAGGTGGGTGAGAGGGGTCCCTGTGTGTGAAAGTCCAGTGGAGTATCCAAGATTGGATACAGTGGGGTTCTCTGGGCTATCAGGAGGCAAAGGGCCTTTCTCAGCAGGTCAGCAGCATGAGAGGAGTATGATGTTGCTGGTCTGGAGAGGGGTAAACCAGAGTAGGGGATGGGCTCCCTTCCCTCAACCTGTACATACACATACCCTCCTCACCACCCTTCAGGCAAAATCATGGATGCAGTGATTCGGGAGTACAGCCCCTCGCTGGTGCTGGAGCTAGGAGCTTACTGTGGCTACTCAGCCGTGCGAATGGCCCGACTGCTGCCACCTGGAGCCAGGCTTCTCACCATGGAAATGAACCCCAACTACGCTGCCATCACCCAGCAAATGCTGAACTTTGCTGGCCTACAGGACAAAGTATGGCCCACTATGGCAGCTGGGGGGTTTGGGGGGGGGAAACTGGGCAGGCAGTGGGGGAAGATGAGGTCCTTGGTCAGCCACTAAGCACCTGCCGTATCTGTGACACTGGAGTAAAGAAAGGAACCACGGCAAGTTAGGAACATGGTCTTACCAACCTATCCTGTAGAGCAACTACCAGAGAGACTCAGTGCAGACTCTTCTCCAAAGCCCCAAAGAGATGGAGACATAGGTGGGAATCCAGACAAGCTCCTGCATATCACTGTGGGCACAGTACTGACAGAACCCTGTTCCAGGTCACCATCCTCCATGGGGCATCCCAGGACCTTATCCCCCAGCTGAAGAAGAAGTACGATGTGGACACATTAGACATGGTCTTTCTTGACCACTGGAAAGACCGCTACCTTCCAGACACACTTCTCCTGGAGGTGAGCTGAACCATCAATGCCCAGGCTCAGCAGGATGGCCTCTGTGCTGGCACTGCTGGAGTCACTGAGCCTTGAAGAGCCCTGCTGAGGGTGGTCCAAGGGCATAGGTGGGCCGAGGGATAGTCTGTGAGTTCTGTGGGTTGCAGAGGCCCTGTGGTAGGTGGAAGTGAAAGGGGAGAGGTTCCGGGTAGGAATGCCAAGTCAGGAACTCCCTGCAGTGCAGGAAGTCTGCTAGGGAGTGGGATGGGCACCAGAGAACAGAACACTTGGCCTGAAGGACCCAGAGCTGAATATACTCAAGGAAGCCGAACTTGGTCTGACTGAGGGTCAGCTGGGGCTGGCCACAGGGATGACAAGTGTGTCTACTCTCTCTAGGCCTTTTCAGCCCTCAACACTGCTCAGCCACCTTCACCTAGCAGGACCCTCAGCTCTAACTGGGAAAGCCATCCCTACTCCCAAGTGACTAGAGCATGAGGGGACATTTCCTTGTCTTGCTTGGGTGGCCTACAGAGAGACATGGAGTGGCTCCTTGGCCTTCATTGGATCTCCTCACAGCCTTTCACAGCCAACATGGAACTGTCCATGTGGTGTTGTCTCAAGAGTTGTACACCCTGTCATAGACTGTGGGGTCCAGAATGTGGGAGGATCAATCAACAAGCCCACGGGGAGGACAGAGCCATTGTGGCTTGGGCATGGCTCCAATAGCTCTGGTGAATGTAAGGGCTAAAAGGAAAATTCGGGCATGAGCTCTGGGCACGTGGGTCTGGCATCTAAAGGGTTTTGTTGACCTTTGTGGTGGCATGGACTGGTGAGTGGGAATGGTATTTCAGAGGCCCCTCACACTATTTTGGAAGTGGTGAGCACTAGGGTCAGAGGCAGGAATATTCCAAGGCCAGGAAGTTGTACCAAGATGGTAAGCAGTCGGGGGACAGAAAGGAGACCAGCAGGCCAGGCCAACCATGGGAAGCTGGCTCAGACAGGTTCCTGTCCCTGGCAGACACTGAGAACAGAGAACAGGCAGCTGAGCAGTCAGGCTCTACCTGTACAAGTACAGTGCAGGGAGGTAGGTCTCTGCACTTTCTGTGTGTGGTAATTGCAGGAGCCTGCTGTTAGAAAAGCAGTTCAGAAAAGCCGTTCAATAACTAGGAAACTAAGTTTTCAGCGCTGTTGCTCAAAGCTGGCAATTAGCTCCAGAAGAGAGGCATACATTGGAAATGGGTGCACTCATTTTTCCTTTTCAATGTATGACTGTAGGGAATTGAGGCCAAAGGAAGAACCTTTAAAAATGGTGATCATAAGCTAAAACTGCTTCTACCCAGGCTTACTGTTACACAGGACAATCTCAGTACTTGAAGGCAGAAGGATCATCATCTGTTGGAAGCCAGCCTAGGTTATACAATAAGGCACTATCTCACAAAGCAAACATCTTACCTATAGCATCCCATACTCCGTCTCCTTAGCATAGAAGCCCTGCTACTCGGGCACAGATCCAGGCTTACCTAGAATTCCCTAGGTCTTTTAGGAGGTTCGTGGAACCTGAATACTGGTAGGACAGAGGCTGTCCCCAGACAAGGCATGTTTCCTGAAGGGCAGCTTGGGTCCCCAGCACCCCCAAAAGTACATGCCTTCCTGTCATGATGAAATCAGGAAGTTTCATGTCTGTGTCTTACTGACAGTCAACATGTAAGTGTTGATGTCTCCAAGTCCCTGGCTGAGCCTCCGTGCTCCTTGCTCACTGTGTTCCTTCCCGCCCTAAACTGCAGGGCCCTCTCTAAACTGCACAGATGCTTTCCTCTAGAGCAGTTCTTCCTTGAGGCTGTTCCAACCAGCGCAAACATTTATGCTTTCTGAGAATGTGTCATATTCATAACGAAACTCATTCATGTTGTGGCACATGAGACTATCCCCCAAATTTAATGAGCAGCCCAAGGGTCCCTTAGCCCTCACAGCCTACAGGCTAGAGATCCCCACCCCACTCCCACCCACTAGGACCAGCTGGAGCCCTGGACCACTGTAAGAGCACAGCACTGCTATGTGAGCACAGAGCTCCCTGCCTTCAATTTGGGACAGCACATGATGGCGATGTTTGTGTGTGTGTGTGTGTGTGTGTGTGTGTGTGTGTGTGTGTGTGTGCCTGTGCCTGCTAGCAGTGCTCTACCCACTGAGGTACACCTCAGCCAGGGCTACTTACTGGATTTTACTTTCCATTTTGGGTAGCTTCCAGTGTGTTTGAAGACAAGTGTCTTACATAGTCCAGGTAGCCTAGAACCTTTGATCCTGCCTCAGCCTCCCAACCGATGGTATCATAGATGTGGCCCCATCAGACAGAACTGCTGTGTTATTATCTTTTGTTACATGATTACATTAAAAACACCCCCCTAAGCCTCCTGGGCAACCTTCAAATGAGAGATTCAGGTGTCCTGTTTCCTGGCTCTCCCTACCCCCACCCCTCCCACCACCCCTTTCTTGGCGGGTACTTCAGCTATTTGTATGCTGTCAGCAGACATACTTCTCAGAGAGGATAGACAAGCATCCTACATAGGATTCACACAAACACAGGTTCTGGAGCCACTGCTTCAAAGGCTCAGGAGTGACTCCCTCCTACTCAGACTCCAGCACCTAGTGTCTTCCCTGGCCCGGGTAGAAAGTCCAGAACAGAGCAGGGAAGGCCTCAAGGGCAGGGTTGTTGGTGAGGACACCATATTCCTGGCATAGAGTGTTGGAGGGAAACTGGCCGGATGCCACCATCTATCTCTTCCACTCAGCCAACCTTCACTGTGTTGCCCACATGCTCTTCTAGGGCTGGAAATGGATACAGGGCAGAATAGGAGCTGGAAGTGGCGCCATGAGAGCAGCTGGCCATGAATTGCACTGGGTTTGCCAAGCATTCCTGACCCTCCCTGTCTGTCCCCCACAGGAATGTGGCCTGCTGCGCAAGGGGTCGGTGCTCCTAGCCGACAATGTCATCGTCCCAGGAACCCCTGACTTCCTGGCTTATGTGAGGGGGAGCAGCAGCTTCGAGTGCACACACTACAGCTCATACCTGGAGTACATGAAAGTGGTGGATGGCTTGGAGAAGGCAGTCTACCAGGGTCCAAGCAGCCCTGTGGAGTCCTGAGCACACAGCCTGCCCTGAGCTTCCCTTCCAGCTTCTTCTGCATGACAACACACTCATTCTGACCCCCTCTATGCCTCTGGGGCTTGTCCTCAGGGGCTGTGCTTCCAGACTGTCATACACTGGCACATTCTAAAGGTAGTGAGCTCTCCATGCAAACCCACTACAATAACCCTGGAAAGCACCTGTGCATAAAAGGCTGAATTGAGGCTAGAGATGCAGTAGATCACAGTGCCTGCCCAGCACACAAAAGGCCTCAAGGTTAATCCTCTGTACCCAAGAACAAAAAGGGAGAGTTTTTAAAAATAAAAGCAGGTGTCATCCTGATGCCCTCAGTAACTGGAAGATATTTTCACAGGCTTCAGTGTGGGATCCTAGGCACTGCAGTCACCAATTAGCCTGGGGAAGAAGTCAGGAAAATGAAAATATCCAGACACCATTCGGCTGTCACAAAATGGCAGCAACAACTCAGAGAAAGTACTATCACCAGCAACTCACACCACATTTCATCTTAAGAATGAGTCAAACTTTTCAGGTGTGGTGCTGCATGCCTTTAATCCCAGTATCCAGGAGGCAGAGGCAGATGGATCTAAGTTCAAGGCCAGCCTGGTCTACACAGTGAGTTCCAGGACAGCCAGGTCTACATAGAAATACTTTAGGGGAAGAAAAAAAAGTAAAACCTCTTTGTTATCATAAAAGAAATTAAAGATCTACATATTTGGATACAAGAAATGCACTGAGTTATTCTCAGCTACCACACTGCTTTTACTTGATGTACAACAGCCTTTGCACCCATCACACACACACACAGCTAAGCAGGCACTAGCTGTGGGGCCACACTGTCCCTGCTGCTCTCTGCCCACAGGTGACACTCTGGGAGAAACAGTCTCTCCAGTCCTACTTCCTAACTTACAGATGAGGAAGTGGGTTCACACCACTGAGGCATGGCTGCCAGGTACCCCAATGCTGAGGAAGCATCAGCCCAAGCTTAAGAGTTGCCCTAGCCCCTTTGCGAGGCTCTTCAAGGCCTCAGTAGGGCCCCATTTCCTAGACTAGACACTAAGATCAGCTCCATCTTGTCCGATTCCACCCATGCCCGTAACTGTCAGCCAGCACACCCCTCCTGGGTGAGAGTGCCAACAGTAGCCAGGATAGACAGCAGTAGTGCCTGTGGCCAGGGGCAGAGCCCAACCCCCCACGCCACTGTCACTGCCAGGGGACGTGATGGAACTCTATCACCACCAGGGGGCAGCGGTGGCTCAGCTAACGCAGGGGTGCACCCTCTCCTGGTGAGCTGAGGCAGAAGACAGGCAGTTCTTTGCTGCTTTTTTAATCTTTAAATTTTCTTACAAAAATTTCGATGTTTGTTGATACAGTCTTATTTTGGTTTCATTTTTAATGCATTTTGTCAGTTTTCTTCATTATTAAGTCACAAACAGCAGGCACTGAACAGCAGTTCCCTCGCTGCTGCCAGCAGTCAGGCCCCGAGGTTACTTGAGGTTCTAGGCAGATGCAACAGCCAGGGTGGCCCCAGCCACAGGCATCTTAGGAAGAGTATGCTGCAGAGGGAAGGTGTTCCAGGAATCCAAGGACAGGAGTGCTGGGGACAAGCACAGCTTGCCCCCACCTCCAATCTGGCTGCCTCCTAAACTTTCCTGTCTGGACTCTTGGAACAGCCCTCACTGTGGTCAGCCTGCATGCAGGATAGTACTCCAGCCACCCTTGGGAGCCCAAGTTCTTTTCCAAGGCCCCCTACTTGTCCCACTGCCTGCTCCAGGACCTCTACTCCAGGCTTGTATTTGCTCCTCTGTGGCTGTGCATGAGGTTGGCTCCCCCAACCTCCTCTCCTACCACACAGCACCATGTCAGTAAACAGCTAACTCGGACCTGGAGAGTTAGATCAGGAGAGTAAAGAAGAGGGTAGGGTAAGGTAGGACAAGAGGCTTGGCCAACCTGCCACAGAAGGGTGGAGCTCCTGGCTCCAAGACTAGGTCTGCTCAAGACTGCCCTCTTCCAGCTACCTCGATGTGATCCCTAAGAACAGACAGCTGGGCCAGGGCCCTGCAAAGGGAGACAAAGACAGACAGATGCTTTAGTTGGGAGCTCAGATAGGTAAGAGCCAGCAAAATGTAGCAAGATGACTTGGAACCTCCATACGGGGCAGCTGCCTTGATAGGACACACAGAAGCAGTAGCTATGGATTGAAGGATGGGCCATACCAAGACCCTTGACACCAGAACCAGTCCTGTCTTGCTGGTCTTCACAGGGCCCTGTGCTGGGGATATTTGAGGAAATAGGGAGCCTGTCTCCCCAGGACCGATTTCCAGGGACTGGAGCAGGACTGTTGGTAAGTCCTGCCGGAGATCACACAGGGAACACAATCACGCAGCAAGCAGAAATGAACAAGGAGCCCTAACCCAAGGGTGGGCAAACCAGAGGAAGGAACGTACCAGGCATGCAAGCTAGACCCAGGAGTCAACAGGCTGAGGCTTAGTGTCCCCCACGGCGTCCACCAGCCTGACCGAGGGCCTGCTGGGCCCAGGCGGAGGGGCCTTCCTGCCAGGGTCGGGCTGCAGTGCATGGTGGGTGGGCAGATGGGTTAGAAGCAGAAAATAAAAGCAGGTTAACTGTAACTAAGGGTAGACTAGGCTGGTTTAGGCTGGTTGATATGTACAAGGAAGGAGTGGTATGGCGGGCCTGCCAAGGCAGTACAAGGAGGCCAAGCTCTGGGACTGGTTATGGCTCACACATGGTTGGTACGTGAAGCCAGGATTGTGGCACACAGATGGTAGATGCTGCCTTTTCCTGGGACCACAGTGGACATATTGCTCACTCATACACGTGTAAGGGAAGGGTACAAATCCATTTGCTCTCTGGGCCTATGCAGCCTGTGGCCAGGCAGAGCTGCCCCTGTCCACTCCTTTGGAGCAGGGGCATGCACCAGACCCCTCAGCTGAAGTCTGACTGATGTGATATATGGGCTACTTCCTAGGCCCTGCAAGTGAGTGCCACTCCAGCCATGTCCCCGAATCCTGATCAGGCTCAGCACTATCTGGCTGTTTTCCTGACAAGCCCAAGACGTCAAGCCTCCTTGGGTACTCACTCTCAATAGTTCCTTCTCAGAGGTGTCCCCTATGGAGTCACTGCCCAGTGTCCTCCTCTCCCTCCGGTCAACTGTGGCATAACCATCTGTAGGGTGGAACAGAGCATGGATTAAGTGGAATTCTGGGGAAGTCACCATGGGGATAGGTGATCTTCCTTCATCCCGGCTACAGAAAGCCCTCAGACAAGGGACTTCTGGTCTAAGTGTCAGCTCCAACTAGTTCTGAGGCCTCCAAACCAACCATCTATCTTTTCTCCAATTGACATTTTACCATAGCAAGGCCTTCTCAGCATCACCCAGGATCACACCACAAAACCAGGTGGTCCTCCCCAGTCCTCTTCCCTGAGCCTATACACCTGCACTCACCTGGACCAAGGGTATCCATAGGGATCACATCCCGGGTGGTTGACTTCTCCCCATCTGCAAGGCATGAGCAGGGATCTGTGAGCAGTGGGCAGGCATGGGGAGGGCAGGGCAGACAAGCTCGCCACAGGACAGTGCTCAGGGTCCTCAGTCAGGAGTCCGTCCTGGCTCCCTAACTCCACCTACCTTGTGCAATAGCAGGTGGGAGCTACTCTTAAGCCTCAGGGTAAGTCTCATGTCCCTCTCCCCTGCTTGTGCTCACCAAGGTTCTTGTCTACCAGTGGCAGTGTGCTGTCATCAAAGCCCCCAGAACTTGGTATCCCTTTGGGTCCTTTGGCAGTGCTAGCAGTCTAAGGAGGCACAAAACACAAAGAAGACGTAAGGCCCAAGAAACTCCTGCTTGGGATCAGATGTGGCAAAGAAAGAGAAGGCAGGGCAGCTGCACCTGGAAGCGTGCCTTCGTCCAGCCATCCCTCTGTAGGGCTCCACGCAGCTCCTTGTAGCTCCACACAGTCTGTAGCACGTGTGATGCTGCCTTGGCCTCCCGCACTGACTGGCTGCAGCAGCAGCAGCCAGGGCTACGGTCAGTGGCCTACCACATCCCAGTCTCCCTCCATCCCCAAACCCACCCAGCCTTCAGCAGGCCCTGCCCTCACCCACCTGGAGGCCACAAGTGCCACCAGTGCAGGCACACCACGGGCCTGCAGGAGGGAGCGAGCATTGTCCAGGCTATCAGACACGATCTCATGGATGGTGTTGAGCACAGCTACCACTGTATCCTCCTCCAGGTGGGCACTAGGGTGAGTGGGGGCCTGTGCACTGCGAACATTCCGAACCAGCTCTGTCATGGCATAGCTCCCTAAGAGGCAGGGTCAGACGTTAGGACATAACTTTGCCAGACAATGGACATCACCAGCCACAACCTCTGAGAGCAGGTTGAGCCTCGGGGACTGGGATGAGACCTAAGCTCCCACAGCTCAGCACAAGACCAGCCCAACCACCTAGAGGAATCTGGTCCCCTGACCTCTATCCTCCCACAACCTGTTCCCAGTGCCCGCTCCATTCACAAGCCCTGGCTTAGTACATCAGCATCCTCACCGATGAGGTCTTTGTTCCGCTGGTCTAGTGAAAGGTTGCGCAGTGCAATGGCCACAGCACGCACCACTTTGTCAGTCTCCGACTGAAGCAGTTCCACCAGCACTGGCAGCCCACGTTCCTTGCGCACCGTGGCACGGATGTACGTGGCCCACTGTGAGGGTAGCAGAGGTGACCGCTCAGCAGGGCTGCCTTGCACAGCTCTCACACCAACAGTGCCACACCAACAGGCAGGCCGTGGTAGTGCTCAGCGCCTCCTGGCCCTGAGGATACGCTGTGTGCTCTTCTCCCACTGGCCCAGATGGAGGCAAGGTCTGGAGGCAGAGGGAGGGACCCACTCTGTCCAGGTCTGCCCTCCCTGCCAAGCTGACTCCTCACCGTCCAGTTGCCAGCACTGAGGTTCTGCAGGGCACCAGCTGCAGCTTCCAGGGTGTTGAAGTTCCGGCTCTCCGTAAGCAGTGAGAGGTAGAGACGTACCACCTCTGGCTGGTACAGCAGCTCGAAGCCTAGATATAGGGCAACGGCAGCCCAGAGTCATGGGGAAACTCCTCTCCCCACCTCCAGCCCCTTCTTAGTCATTGTTCCGGAGCTAGGGAGAGCTGCCTGGGATGGACACTGAAGTCATGTTTAACATCAATTACTGTCCCCAATCAGACAGGGGTAAACTGATGGTGAGCCAAAGGGCAAAGCAGGAAGATAAGGATATCCCTTAACCCTGGATCACCTGGATGCACACCTAGGAAGAAGGTAGAGTGAGATGGACACTAGGCTACTTTAGCAACAGAACCTACCTACCCTGGATGTGACCTGGGCAGCACCCCTAAAAACATGGCTTACCTACCCCATCTGACCATAGGGACCACCCTTACCAGTAACAAGACTACGTAGTTGATGTCCATGTCTAGCAACAGGCACCCCGGGCAACTATTCCAGGCTCCCCAGTAACTGAGGCCCAGCCTCATGAGTAAGAGCTAAGGTGCCTTCAAGCCTGCCAGGTAGGGGCAATCTGAGTTCTTCTGATATCCTGGGCTAGGCTGGGCCCCACTCACCAGGGCAGTCTCTCACTGAGGCTAGTCCGCAGTACACTGCACAATGTTAGTGGATACTGGAAATCCAGCAGACATACCAGACAGCCGGGATGACCTACCCTGGACAGCAGCTGTCCATTCTTACACCCTGGCCCCTGGGTCTCTCCAACCCATGTACCTCTCTCACTCACTACATGGCTATGAAAGAACTTACCTGAGACAACCTGTACACACTGACTAAACCCTCAGGAGTTGCCAGGCCTGGGCCATTCTCTAGAAAACCCCACTCTGATGGATCAGTCTGTTTGCATACCTGACCCTCCAACCCCAAATCTTTCTGGCCTACTCAATGGGAAAACGTTTTGATCCCTACCCAGCACTGGGCCAGGTTTCCCAGCTCTGCCTCTTTATCCATTCACCTTTTGCAGCCTCAGTTCGTTTGGGCAGGTCCAGTGTGTCAAAGTTTCGGTCCATCTCTGCATCCTTCTTCCCTGGAACAGATGGGTGGTATGCATTGAGGGGTAGAGTCTATGATGGACAAGTGTGTGTCAAGAGTTAATACAGCCCTCTCCTGCTCAGAGCCCAAAGGGGACAATGAGACACCCTGGCAGAGATGTATTGTCCTCAGAGGACGAGTCAGGCTAGCCCAGGACAGTGGTGGCAGTGGAGCATAGGAACAGCCTAACTGTGTCCTGAGTAGGTACCTAGGCCTCCTTCTCCTCAAGGACAGTGATGCAGCACGCCAGACCACAGTGCAATAAGGCTGGGCCTAAAAGTTCCATCCAAGGGGAAAACTTCCCCTAGTCAGGGACCAGCCGTGGGCCAACCTGTAGCAGCCAGTTTGTACCTTCAGTCCCATCTTCAGCTGAGGGAGCTCTAGTAAGCAGCAAGCCACTGCAGATGACCTGGTGCTCCTGCCCTGCTTACACGTATGTACTTCTATGCTACACATCTCCCATTTCATTGGGGCAGACGGTCCCCTGGTGCTGGCCACTCTTAGGCCCTGCCCACTGTTTGCTCTGTCCCAGTGCTGGCTTGGTAGCTTGTTCTGACTTTGTAAGCAGCAGCCCCTGGGCCTCCCCACCAGCCCAGGGCTACATTCCAGCCTCTGTCACCTCTATGTGGTTGTCATGGAGATGGCTGCCCTTCCAGGGGACTGGGGGTGGGGCAGGGCCTGAAGGCTGGAAGGCTGGAAGGCATCTCAGCTGCCCTATAGTTGTCATGGAAATAACTGCCTGAGCCTAGGTAACAGAGTGCATTCTGTTGCCCACTGCACTTGCCAGACCTGGACAGCAGAACAAACAGGGACTCACCTTGATGGAACCACTCCTCTGGCGGCCGGAGGAAGCACAGGAGAGAGGAGAGGAGCCTGAGCAGCAGTACCCTCCATGATTCATACTCCCACCCATGCCAGGCCAAGCAAGCAGACTGTGCAGCCTCACTCCAGGAACTCTGGGGACTCAGTACCCAAAAGGCCCGGGGAAGACCTATAGTCAGGGCAGGTGGATGCAGAGCACCTGTCCCACCGCTACAGCTGGAGGATGCAGGTACCTGAACCTGAACCTGCAAGTGCTCAGGGTACCTGGCCAGGTGAAGGAAAGGGCTGCACTTTCCTGGCTGCTCTGTGAATAGCCATTTAGTGTCCTTTGTGGGCCCTCAGAATCCTTCCCCAAGAGACAAAGGTGAAGAGCATCCCATGGCCTACAGGAAAGGGTTAAGGCTAGGCCTTGAGTCTGCACCTTTCCTACTTGCTGTACGCCCATGGGGACTGACTAGATGTCCTCAGGACTCCAGGACCACTGCCATGGACATGGAGAGCCCTGAGACTTGGAAGCAGTGGGAAAGAGACACATCTCAGCCTTACCTACCCACCTTTTGCTTTTTTGCCACCAAAGCAGCTGGCATCATCCTTCCTTCGACGCTGGGAGGTTGTAGCATTGCCCGGGATTCCAGGCTCTGCCTCCTGGTACCTGTCAGCCCCTGGAACTTCCTTGTGCACGTGGTAGGATAGGTTCCGCATGATGCACACGCAGTTCTCTACTGACTGTGGAAGAGGTGGCCTGGTTGAGCAGGAACACTGGACAAGGGGACTGCTAAGCTTCCAGACCCTTGTGTGAAGCCATAGGTAGTTAACACCAATGGCACTGTCAGCCTAAGGTGGGGAGAACTGCCAAGAGTGACCCTGTGCCACGTGAGGGGCCTTGTGCCACGTAAGGACCCATGTGCCATGTGAGGGACTGTGCGCCTTGTTCTGGATAGTTACAACCTGTTCTCATCTGTGCCATTCTGGGGCACTCCCTGTGACCCTTGGGCTCTGAGAACTTGGAGGGCAGGCTGGTCCCCATCTGCTCTACCCACCTTATTGTCTGTGTCCTTCCTGCCCACAGCTGACTGCAGGGCATGTAGTAGAGCATCCACCAGCCCTTCGCACTCACGGAGTCGCCGCCGGGCCTCTGCACCATCTGAGCTCACATTCCTGGGTGGGAGGGAGCAGGACCACCAGTGATTTCCCCCATTTTTCCCCCACTCCCTATTTTTGTTCCACTAGATTCCCCAGACCACTAGCCACAGGGGCTTTTATCTGCACAGTAGGCCCTGCTGGATCACAGTGAAGGTGAACAGGATGGCTTGTCCCAGGCAGTGGGGCTTTAGCCTCGGATCTGTTTGGGAGGAAGCAAGTCTCCTGTTCAAGTTCAGGAAGCTGAACTGGAACAGGATAGAGATGGGTCCCAAGAGGCCAGAATCCATGCAATGCAGGTAATGCTGCCCCTTCCTCCCAACAGCAGTTCCCAGGACCTTGTAGGGTCACAATGGTACAAAAGTGATGGGCAGGCAGGACCTCAGGGATGCAGGACTCTATCTGTGGGTGTGAGCAGAGCTCCACTGGAAATCCCAGAGACTTAGGATATGGCTCGGAAACTCCTAAACTCTGGACAAGCTGCGATATAAACAGCTCCTGCCACCCTGCAGATATGGCCTACGTCCCACCCCTGCCCACACCTCAGGCAGCCTGATGTGTTCTTGAAGACTGTTGTCCACTCTGCATCCCGGGGCTTCGAGTCTTCATTAGGCTCTCGCTCCCAGCCAGAATGGGGCACGATGACCTCATGGGTCAGAGTCTGTAAGCCGTGGTCAATGATGACCATCTTCAGGGGCTCATAGGATGACAGGTTCCAGAGTGTGCCTGTAATGTGCCTCTAGTCAATACTGTTGACCATGACCCCACTGCCTTGGCCTCCCTGGGGATGACACATACGATCTGCTTCTACTTTCCGTCCTTGTTCTCCAGTCAGCCCCTGAGGCTGGCACAGTTGCTACTGTTTTTGTGGGGGCTGAGGGATGGGGATGGGAAGTTGTCCCAAAGATGGCACCTAGGGCCTTTCTTTGCACATGTTAGGCAAGCTTCCACTGAGTGACACTCAGATCACATAAGGAGCACTGAAAGCCATACAAGGTTCTGGGCCCCACACAGCAAGAAGTATAGGCAGTGCTTAGTAGGGGTTTTCAGCTAACAAGAAAAAAGAGGAGAGGCATAACCAGGGAGAGTTTATCCCATCCATTCCCTGCTATACAGGTGAGTGGTCTGGCAAATGCTCCCGAGAGCACAGGACCATGGAGAGATGGGCCTGTGACTCCCCAGCTCTCCAGGGCATAAGCTCTACTCCTGCATTTGCACAGGTTAGGAACCAGGGAGGCAGGATCTGGTGACAGCAACCCCGTGGTTCAGAGAGTTGGGGACCCATCCTAGCACATGGGCCTGTTATACTCCTGTTTCCCCAATGCTGGGCTAAGCCTCACTCATGTCAACCATGGCCAAGGCCCACTCACCAGTGACTAGCTCACGGACCTCATTGTCACGGGCAGCCCGCAGCAGGCGCACCAGGGCTGGCACACCTCCGCAGTCCCGGATGGCAGCCTTGTTGTCAGCATCACGGCCATAGGAGAGGTTGCGCAGTGCCCCACAGGCCCGGCGCCGCACCTCAGCTCGAGGGTGATCTAGTAACGCCACAAGTAGGGGGAGCCCACGCAGCTGCCGTACTCGCCGCTTGATACCCTCGTTTTCAAAGCAGAGGTGCTGCAGGTAGGCTGCTGCGTTGGCCTTCACAGGGTCCACAGGGTGCCGCAGCATGGCCAGCACCTCTGGCAGCTCGGGGTCCCGCCAGCGTGGCTCCTTGCGGGTGCTATCCACTGAAGGTGACCGCCGCACTACTCGGTCCAAGCTGCCCAGGCTGCCCCTCTCAGGCTGGGCCAGAGGGGCTGTTGCTGCTGGGAATGGGGGACGCTCTTCTATCAGCTCACCAGCACCGTCTGCTGTGTCTTCAACGGCCCTGTGTGGATGAACAGATCCTGACAACACCTTCACAGTAGCTGCCAGCCCCCCTTCCCATCTTGTCCAGGGGTCTAGGAATTCCCTGCCAAGGGGGCTGACAGCATCCTGCATCAGCCCCAAACGGTGTGAACACCAAGAGGTCCAGCCCAGCCCAGCCAATGCTGCTGCAAGGTAAAGATTACAGCTCAAATCAGGAAGTTTGCTCCTCAACAGTATGATTTAATGTCAGTGTGACAACTGTCAGGGACAGGGCAGGACTCCCACATCCTTTCTGTAATACCAGCTGACTGTACCAGTATAGGGGTAGAATATCCTCCCTGTGCATGGCCACTCCAATTAGACCATCTGACAAGGACATGTTTTGGCTCTCAGTGACCTTATGAACTCTTACACCCACTTCCCAGGAAAGGGACTAAGGCTTGGAAGGTCACATAATTTGCCCAGAGTCACATAGCAAACTCTAGACTCGGGCTGTGGTCATGTTTCATGCCACAGATATAAACAGGAACAGCATAAAGGCAGGGTCAGGGGCCATAACAAGAAGGACCAGGGCCTCTGGGTTTGAGCTAGTGTCCATGGGGGAAACTAAGGCACACAAACTTCAGAGGCCCTAAGCAGAGTCACACTGAACATTAGGCCCAGGTCTTCATGGCCAGCTGGCTGGTTACTAGAACAGAACCAGCTTCAGGCTGTGTCACCAGGCACATGCTTATCATCCACAGCCTGTCCTCAAGAGAAAATAGAGGCAATTCAAACTGAAATATAGCCAGAAGACCTGCGGCAGACTGTAACTGGGGAATGGAAGAGAGAATTCCCAGAAGAGGCAGCCATGACAGGTACTCACCTGGCACGAAGGCCCCGCCCATACTCAGGTCTTCTCCTTGTTGCTGTGCTGTAGTCAGGCTCCAGGTCAGGGCCGCCCTCATCATCCGCAGCCAGGCTCCGTGTATCATCCTCCAGACCATATGGTTCAGCTTGGAAATGCTCAGGCAGAGAGCGGCCACTTGGTGGTCCAGATTCAGAGCCCATGGGGAAGGCTTCTCGGCGGCCAGGCAGTGTAAAACAGCCATCACCTGGCCCTGGACCCAGGAGGCCAGTACGTGGTGGCCGTACCCCAAGTCCTCGGGACAAGCTGCCGTAGCTTGGAATATCCCGGGGCTCGGGGCCATCAGGAAAACCACCTCCGCTGCTGAGGTAGGCTCGGGAGAGTGTGGCTGCCGGGCCGCCACTACGCAGCAGGTAATGCCGGTCCAGGGGCCCATCAGCAAAAGAGCCAAGTGGAGGGCCGCCGTCCAGCAAGGGGAGTCCATCTGGGCCCAAAGGCACCTGGCGTACTGTCCTTGTGGTCACAGTCTTGACCGTCTTGGTGACCTGATGGACAAGAAAGTAGCAAATGGGTTTGGTGACTCTAGAGACCAAGACAGTGCCAGGGTGGCCTCAGTTCCCCATCCAAACCAAGTGGTTCTTGGGGGCCAGCTCACATGCCTGTTCCACAGAGGGACAGCTATGCTTGCCCAAGCTACTCTCTTCTTGCCTGGCTCCGGCCATACCTTAGTCTCAGTCCGCCGGGTTGTACCATCTTCTGATGTGACAATGGATACATGAGAGGTTGGGGTGCCAGGGTCTTCCTCCACGGTCACTGTCTCCTCTAGCACCTCAGGTGCCTCTGGCATCGTGGCCAGCGATGCCTGGCTACCCGGGCTCTGCTCCTAGAGGGAGAAGAAGGGTGTCAGAGGTCAAGATCCATACACAACTCACTCTACCTTGTATGCCTGCTGACCGTGGGTTGACAGTTCCTCAAAGTGGGGCTGAAGCACAAGGCAAGTCCACCTAGACCCAAAGGCACCTGGCACAGTCCTTGAGAACAAGAAAATGGTTCAAAAAGAAAAAAAAAATGGTTATATGGGCTTGTGGTCTCTAGAGACGGAGACAGTGCCCTAAGCCAGGGTGGTCTCAATTCTCCTGGGTCCAAGGTGGCCTCCCTGAGCTTCATGGCTCTGCCACAGGCTTCTCTAAGCACAAAGGGGAACCAGGAAGGTCCTGAAGATGTCCCACTGATGTCACCTGCCTCCTCCCCACCCTACTCCCTGAACTGAATGGTCAAGTCCTAGAGTCAGATTCAGCACAGTTTACGCCATCCAGTACCAAGATCAGCCAAGTCCTTACAGGGCAGAGATACCCACCTCCTAGAGTCAACAGGCACCCACCCACAGCGCTAAGATAGCCTTGCTCCTTCTGGCCCAGGGGGTCCTGGGACATGGAGGCCGTGCATCATATCAGACACTAGAGATATGGATACCTACTTACAGCCACCTTGCTACCACCCTGCAGTGAGGCATGGTGGGGTATTCTAGGCAAGATAGTTATGGACTGAGGCCCACTTGTGTATTAGTCAGACTAGCCAGTGTGGAAGCCAACTTCAAGAAGACAGGCCAGATCCTGCTGTGCAGAGTGGCACATGGATCTGAGAGCCAGTCCGCCCTGGGCCCAGGACCTTTATCCTGTCAACATCTCAGGGTTGGCATCTGGCCTGAACAGGGGCTGGAACTCAAGCTACAGTGGGTGGTTTGGAGGGGACACATTTCTTTGTAACCATGGCTAGGTCGACAGTAGGCTGTGCCTCCCCACCCAAGGCCCAGGGTGGCCTTGTAGTTCATACTACATCTCCTCAGCCACAATGCCCTTCCCTGGCCTGGGTGCTGTGCTAAGGAGGGAGCCAGACTGTCCTAATGACAGGCCTACCTGCAGAGATCACAGGGTCAGTAAGCCTTCTCAGGCTAGCTCCTGTACTGAGGGGGCACCTGGCCCCTGATAAGAGTCGAGTGTATGAATACAAGTATGTCACTAGCATAGCATGGTAGGACATCTCCTGGGCTCTGGTAACACAAGACAGTGGAGGCAAATAGCATACCTCTCCCTCTCTTGGGGCCTTTGGAGATTTAAGAGGCGACTTTATAAGGAGAGAATTGAGGCCTGGATGGAGAAGAGGTTCGCCAGAGCCACACAGGTCCTAGCAGAGGGATTTCAGGAATTTGTCTAACAAGGAAACAGTTGAGTTTTGCCACACCTCTCTGGGACAGGGATGGGTCCCTTTCCTAGCCTACAGATGAGATGGAATGTCTGGGACCTGTCCACGGAGAGGAGACCCTGTACCCTGGGAAAGAGAAATAGATGAGGCCCAATGTGGGGACAACTGGGAAGATGCCAGACTGGGTAACCTGGGCACTTCTCCAAGGACACCACTGCTGAGGCCTGCTGCTGCTCCATCTCCATTTGGTGCCTGAGTGTCAAGCTGCAGCTCTCACTGCTGGATTCTGAAGCTCAACAGGGTTTTTGGGGGGTTAGGGGTGAAGTGGGGAGGGGAACTAGGAGCGGCATTCCTAGCTATGGAAGGAGGGGGAGGAGCAAGACTGAGGGGACAAGTTGCTTAGGACATTCTGCCAGGGGACCGGGCCCCTTTGTCGGTTTGCATGCATCTACATACATTAAACACTCAGAGAAGAACCCTGCCCTACTCCCTACAAAGGTGGTAAAGGAAAGAAGGATCTAGGACACTGAGTCACAGACCCTGGACTGTGAAGAACATGTGACACACAGCAACAGCAGTCTGGAGACCCAGGGTCTCCAGCTAAGGTCGGCCACCTACAGTGTCACTCACTAATGTATGGGCTGAGAGACCCTGAGCTTCTGAGAGTCTCTGCTAGCAGATGACCTCAGGAAGCTAAAAGCAGTCAATGACCTCACCCAGGCAGGCGGGAGTGTAAGTCAGCCTTGCTCCTGGGAAAGTCAGGCCAGCTACACATGCCTGAGCATACATACAGAGAGACATCTAGACTCATAATGACAGGTGTTTCTAACACCTCAAACAGGGCACGAGCACATACATGAGTTCCCAATCAGGAACACAGGCACAACTGCATTGATTTATGAGATCTGACAGTACCCCAGGTGCATTATGTCCCCTGTTCTCAAACATACCCTATCTTCCATCCACCTAGCTGGACTTTTATTGACCCTAGCCCTTACATATGCTTCCCAGTCACCTATCCACTTTTGGGTTCTCAATGCTTGTATAGATGGGAAAACTGAGGCCTTCGGTAGTAAGAAGCACAAGTCCATCCTGGAACCCAGCTTCTGGAATTTCTCTGCAGTAGGTCTGTAAAGTGGTGGGCTAACAACCAGCAATCACTATTCAACAGTGAGGGCTGGTGGAGTGTCTCCATGTTTCATGACCTACCTATCAGCTTATTCTCTGTATTAGAGCCCAGCATGATAGCTGATTCTGGGCTGTTCCACTCTGTACCGGACATGGGCACCCTTGACTATACTGTCACAGCCCTGTGCAACACTGTGTGCCAACTACTTACTCTCAGTCCCTCCCTGGCTCCAGCCCCATCCTTTCTCCTCTAACAGAAGCCATATCCATCCTCCAAACTTGGGAGCTACTAGGCCTATACAGGAGAGGGGTTGTCACGAAGGCCCAGGGTTTGCTGGGACCTATCCAGCTACTCTGCTCCCTAGAGGAGCCCCACAAGCATGGTGCTGAACACAAACCTGTGGGGACTCAGCTTCCTCATGTTGAGAAGAGAAGGATTCAGAAACCCATCCCACCCATATGCCCAATGCCAGGACCATGGAGAGGAAACCAAGATGTGTCAGGGTGTAACAGCTCATGTACTTTATGGATGAGTATCTATAGTCTCTATCATGCAGAACAGACCACAGGTCTTCGTGCCCCACCCTATGCAGGTCCTGCTGGCACACATCAACCACAAAGTGAAGTCAGATGCATACCTGGAGCCCACACTTCAGGGGGCCAGGTCCTCAGAGGGCACAAGATGGCTAATGGGGTGGGGGGGAATATGGAGTTCTGAACTCCAGCATGGCCCTCCTAGGCAGAGCGTAGGACAAGTTATGCTGACATTTCCCGCCAGGCAGGCCCTTGGTCACCCACCACAAAATACCACCTCCTTTATGCCCAGTCTCAGTACAACCTTCCACAGCCCATAGCCTGTCAGGGTGTGGCCCCAGACAGTGGCTAAGGGTCCTGTGGTGGGCTCAACAAGCTGGGGAGGGGACCAAGTGTCACCACTCCCAGATTCCCTTAAGCCTGAACCCCAGTCATATTGACCACAAATCCATGACTGACTGGGCAGTCAGTGGCCAGAAGCTATGGACCACATTAGGTGAGTGGCAGGCCTCCCTCCTACCACCAGGTGTCTTTTAGGCAGTCCCTGCTCCATACAGCTTCAGTTTCACTGCTTCTCAAACCCCGCTCCCTCTGAACATAGTGCATGTAGCACACCTGCCCCTCACCAGCACTGGAACGCATACAGCCTGGATGCCGGGCAGACCCCTCCCGCCACCACACGTGGGCAGTACCGGGCTCTGCTCCTCCCTTGCCCTCCCCTCACGTGCAATGCCGCGGCAGAAAGGGTTTCCATTAAATCTCCAGAAGCTGCTCCACTGGTCCCTAGAGTGTAGTCAGGAGCGAGCGGAAGGGGAATGGAGGGGAGCCGAGAGAGCCCCAAGGGAGCAAGAGGCCTAGGCCAATTTCCTTCAGCGGGCGGGCCTCGCTGTTTGGGGAGGGGCCACTAAGAAGGCCCTGTGCCCCTCCTTTTTCCTTCCCCGGCCACCTGTCCCACAGGCGGAGGAGTGCACCCTTCCCGGGTCACCCTCCATTTGAGTGCAGGGTCGCCCGGTTTGCGCCCCCACGCGGGGCTCCAGCCGCTAAGGTACCGAGGCGCGTGGTGCTCGCACACGCCCCCTCCGCGCAGGGCAGCTGGCTCACTCCCGCCACCGCCACCGCTCCTGCCCCGGGGGTCAGCGCAGCCGGCTCTAGAGCAGACAATAGCTGCGGAGGGCTGGCTGCTCGCCGAAACAAAAGCGGGTCTTCCCGGGTAGGCCAGGGCCTCAGGACACCGCCCCCGACCCCCGCAGGACCAAGTTCTTTCCAACCTGTCTGAGTTCGGCCGGCATCGGACCGAGGCTGGGAAGCTGCAAGCCGGCGGGGGCGGCAGCAGGACCGCACTCAGCGGGCGCTTCGGCCGCTCGGGCTCTACTGACTCCCTCCCGTGCAGGCGGACCTGGCAGCGGCCAAGACCGGCAGCCAATGGGGAGGGGCGCGCCCAGGCGGGGCGGGCGAGGCTCCGCCCCCCCACAGGCCAGGGCGGGACTCTGCAGCTAGGCCTGACAGGCTGCCAGCCCCTGGTCTTGGCTCCTAGCATCCCACCCTAGGGTTGGCAACCCCATCCCCAGCCCACACACACCAAGAGACTTAGACAATCGTTCCTTCTCAGGTCTCAATCTATCCCCAGTGAATGTGTATATGCCTATCCACCTCTACAGTTGTGTAAACTGAGGTCCCACAGAGTAGACCTGACCCAAGCTACTTATCCTGTGAGACATTTTGCTCTTAAGAGATAGTTCTGGTATGGTCAAGCTGCAAGGTCCTTATGCCACATGGGTCGCCAAGTAAAGGTCACTGCAGATCTTAGAGAGGACTTTACTGCATAGCCCCACAGGGCACCCAGCTTATGCCTTGGGTTCCCCATTAAGACACAAGTCAGTATTGTCTCACCTTTTGAAGGCCGGTACAGTGTATCAAACAGTGGGACAAAAAGCCAAGTCTGGAATTGCCCTGGGCTAGAAGTCTCTGGAATGGGCTCTTGTCAGAAGCCCTGGAAACAGAACTGGTTTTATACCCTGTTCTCCGTGCCTTGAGTGTATTGGGAAATGACAGATGGGCTGTGGGGATCTGAGCCAGTAAGATGTATCTTGCTCCACCCTAAGCTTTCCAGCAGCCACACCTGGGGAGTTTGACTGTTGGAGGAAAACAAGTACAGGGAGGAGTGAGGCAGAAACTACAGCCACACTATAGAGCATGCTAACGACTCCTGCATCATATATATGAAAATAGGTTTTGAGACAGTAGAACTGAGGCCAGCCCAGGGGAGCTCCACGGGTATCCAGGAAAGGGCCCAGGCTCCTTCCTTGCCTCCTGTCTGCTTCTCCCCACCCCAGTCTGAAAAGTCAAACCTGCCCTGAGGCCCCACCAGCAGAGGCTGCAGAGCCAGCACGCTCAAGCACGCTCATGCATGCTAAGTGCCCATTGGCCTCAGTTTCCCTACTCAGACCAGAATGCTCTGACTTCTGACCTCCTTCATTCTCCATCATAGCCACCCTGGTCAGCTAAAAGAACATACTGTTTTAAGGGAATGCAAACCAGATTTTCCAAAGGTTAGTGTCCTAGCCACTTGACTAAGCTGGAGACAAGTCCACTAACCTGACTGACCAGGTCATAGTAGTGTGTTCCCCCATCAAAGATGAGTGTCTTCATCCTGTTAGAAGATGAAGGGCAGGCAGCCAGGACTGCGGAACAGTCCAGTGAACAAGTCTGCAGTAACCTTTGACCCTAGCTCCCAGGCTGCAGGCTGCAGCTACCAGCCTTGCAAACCACCCCAAGCTCTCAACTAGCTATGCTGACCCTGTGTCTCAGAGGTAGGCTCCAGGATAGCTCTTGTTGAGATTAATATACAAAGAGTCAACACTGAGGCAATGGCCTGGCCAGCCTGAGCCTACTCATGTCCCCATTAGCCTGTCAGATCTGACCAAGAAAGCCAAGAGTGGGATGGGATAGTGGGTAAGGAGAAGATACCGCCTGAGGTCAGCAGCTCCAGACTATGGAACATCTTCCTGCCAGGACACTGACCCTGCGAGCGCCCTCTGTCTTCTCCTACTGCCTGTCAATGAGATGGAACACTGAGCCTGTTCTATCTTGGGAGGGGTGCACAGAGTGTCTTGGTGCCTGAGGAACAGCCTCAGGGGCAGTGACCACTACTGATCCCATGTGGCCCTTCTGAGCTGTTCTACTTCCTTTCAAAGGTTAGGGAAGGTTAGGAGCACAGAACTCACTATGTGGTTGTCCTCTGTTTCACATGCTAGGGCCTCCTGTGTGCTAGACATAGGAGCTACAACCCTCAAGGCTTACATGGAAGACTTAGGGTCTGGATTTTGACTCAGCAAGCGCCTCACAGATGTGGCACACTCTTCCAGGCCTACTCCCCTCAGTTCTAATTCCTACCTTTCAGAAAACATTCAGTACCACATAGTTGAAAAGAGGACTCTCCAGCCAGATGTTGTTGGGGCATGCCTTTAGTTCCAGTAGTTAGGAAGCAGAGCCAGACAGATCTCTTTTGAGTTTGAGGCCAGCCAGGGCTATACAGTAAGACCTTGTCTCAAGGGGAGAAAAGGAAGTGGTGTCAAGAGAAGGAGAGTGAGGCTGGGCAGTGGTGGCGCATGCCTTTAATCCCAGCACTTGGGAGGCAGAAGCAGGCAGATTTCTGAGTTCAAGGCCAGCCTAGTCTACAGAGTGAGTTCCAGGACAGCCAGGACTACACAGAGAAACCCTGTCTTGGAAAAAAAAGAAGAGAGAGAGAAAGAGAGAGAGAGAGAGAGAGAGAGAGAGAGAGAGAGAGAGAGAGAGGAAGAAGAAGAAGAGGAGGAGGAGGAGGAGGAGGGAAGGAGGAAAACATGACTCCCTACTGGGCTTACAGTCTTCTGAAAATGTGGAGATGTTTGGCTCTGACTGCATTTTAGGTGAGTAGATATGAACAGATATAGGAGCCCTTAACTGTGAGCCATCAGACAAGGACAGCTGGGGGCAGTCCCAATCTGTCCCCCTAAGCCTTGCACAGACAGCTTGTCTATGAGTCTTACATGCCTAGCTCCTTGCTCCCTCTCTGGTTAAAACAGGGCAGGGTTCCTCTAGTCTCTACCAAGTACACGTGAGGCACAGTTCCCTAGGCTGCAGGTCCAGGAGGACCAGAAAAGGACTGAGATTGCGGGTGTTAGCATGAAAGGGCTGCTGCCAAGTTTAAGAACGCAGGAGTTGAGTATGGGAAACTGAGGATCCCACTCACCCCTGTGGAGCTCAGGGGACAAGAGCAGGGCAAGCATCTGTTCTGGGTGGTGAGGAATAGCCTCCTCTTCCTGCTGGTAACTGGGTGAGCTTCAGACATAAAGAAAACCTTGATAATCACAGCAGACCCCAACCTCTGGATTTCCTCATTCTGGGACCTCCCTGCATCATGTGGGTGTAGAGAAAGGCCAAGACACTCACACTTGAGCATTCTCCAGTCCTGGTTATGGAATAGAGCTTCCCACCCGGGGCCTGCATGCAGTCTGAGGGTAATGGACAATGGAGAAACTGATGCTTCTAGGTCATTAATATGCAGGCAGATGGTGGGATCCTGCTTGGTTGGACAAAACTCTTAAAGAATTGCCCCCAAACAGATCCAATTCAGATACCTGGGCTCTGAGCTCACTCAAGGGAAGGAACAAGACTCTAAGGGTCAGGCATGTCCTGTTCTTTTCTTCATACAGTGACTGGCATAGACAAATGGGGCTTCCGGCTCCCCTGGGATCTACTTTCCTTTCCTCCTCCCAGGCCCCAGCATACCTACAAGCCACTTCATGCTAGCTGTGATCCATAACTGTTTGGCTACCTGGCTGTCTTTACCCTCCCCCAGACTATTACCTGAAGAACCAGCTGTTGCCAGGCCATTGGCAGGGGCTGCCCACAGCCCACCATACCACCACTGCTCATGCCAGGCTGCTGGGCGCGCTCCAGCTGCAGGGCAACGTGGCGCCGCTCTTGCTCTAAGGCCCGTGTCAGACGCTCGAAGCGGGCCTCCTGTTCCTTCACTGAGGCCAGAATGCTGGCAGCAGAATGCACATTGCAGTCCTCCATGACCAGGGTGCCAGCAGCCTGCAGGCAAAACAGAACAAGCTCAGGGTAGGGTGGAGCACCAACCTGGTGAGGCTGTCCTGGGCCCCAGCCACCCTACTCACAGATCACAGGGCTCTCTCCCAAGCCAGAGCATCCAGCTCTTTGGAGGGAAGCTGCATTGATTAAATTCTAAATTAAAAGCCATTAATCTGAAGCTGGCCGGAAGCAGGCAACTCCCTCCCTGTGAAGCTGGGCCTCTGACCCAGGCTCTTTGCTTCCTGCCAAGCGCAGCTGAGCCATAGACCATGGGTTTCTCAGAGCCTGGTGGGAAGGGGGGGTGTGATGTGATAAATACTCTCTATCTTTCAGGCTTCTGGTTGCCCCTGATTCTGCCAGCTGATTCCAGTCTCATGGGACCACCTCACTCCTGTCCAACAGAGACCCACAGAGGGAGAGGGTCCAGCAGCCACAAAGCCAGGATGGCCAAGTCAAAGCAGCCAGCAGGCAGGGCTTGAGAGGCTGTACTACTACAAGCATAGGACACCAAGGCTGGTAGGGGAGGACTACTACCTTGGAGCTCCTAGAAAGAATAACTGAGGAGCAGGAGTCACAGCCAATCCACCCAGGACAGGCTTGTCTCTGTTTCTCAAGACTGAATAAAACCTGGCTGAGGTTCTGGCATACCTACATTAGACTCCCCTCGGTAAAACTGGCTTGTGCATGGCAGGCTTGATCTAGAGGGAGTTCCCAAGCATCTGAGGTCCAACCTTCAGGGAAGCTCAGGCTTGCTCACACAGCAGCAGAGTGCTATTCCTTGAGCCCCAGGGCCCCAGGGAATTGGAGGCTTGGTGTTTGCAGTGATAAACCAGCATTTTTCCTTGCCACTCATTCTCTGGCTGACCAGTGTGTTTGTTTTTCATGAACAACAAAAACGGTCCAAGTATGCAGAGCTTAGATGCAGGCTCTTGGCGGCAGGAAGGGTACAAACATACGCCATACTCAGTATGTGGCCTGAAGCCCAGTGTTGTTTGGGACCTGCTCCCAGCTGGTTCCACACCAGCCCACTGAAGCAAACTGCTGGACCACTCACCCCTGCACCAATACAGTGTCTGAGCTTAGAGAAGGAAGGCCCTTACATGGGAATATCATGCATGTACTGGGTGATACCCACAGATGACCAGTTCTGCAGCAGCCCACTGGTAATACATGCTATCCAGAGGTAAAAAGCACAGTCCCCTCAGGAAGGCAAGACAGCTGGGGAAAATGAGACCCAGTGAAGGCAAGAAGTGAGTGCTGGCCCCTACAGCTGTTTACTTCCTTTGCACCTGTCACTCGAATAAACTGCCAATGTGACCTTGCAGAAACACTGGTGTGGGCAGAGGAACTGTCCTTAGTTAACCATAACCTGTAAAATTAGCCAAACTTCTGTTAGGAGAGGAGGTGGTCACCACTAGGGAAGAAGATAGGAAGGTGAAGATTGGGCTCTCTGGAAACCATGGCAACACAGAAACAAAAAGCATAGTCACAGCAGGGGCACTCAGCCCACACCCCCACACACACCACACACACACCACACACACACACCACACACACACACCACACACACCCCACACACACCCCACACACACACACCCACACACACACACACAACACACACAACACACACAACACACACAACACACACACACACACACACAGCCTAGATGTTGACAGGAAACTTGGTGATAATAAGGGCTGAGCCTTGAAGAGGGTCCTACCCTGGAGGGGAAGCTTATCCTAGGAAGGGCTGAAGTGAGTCATGGATCTGACTATCTTGTTGGAAGCATCCAGCTCACCTAAGCTGAGCTTTAGAACCACTAGGCAGGGTGACCTGACAGACAACTATTGGTCTGTGGACAACAGTTGGCTTCCTTCCCTCTTGTGTAAAGATGGAGACTCCTGACTTACCTCTGATTTCACCCCTGTGCCCTCCAAACCTCGTTAAAGTTAACTCAGTTGCTATGTATTGTAATGCTGAATACTGGCCCCAAGGTCTGGTTGCCCCCAGGGACAAGGAGTACACCAAGTGCTGCCACTTGACCTTGCTCCTGAGAAGAGAGGTAGGCGGAGTTTCAGTTCCCAGACTTGGGGTCTGAGGCAGGAGAGAAGAAAGAGGAAGACACCAAGGGGTAAGGGATCCTAAGAACTAGCCTTGAGGGCTAGCCAGGTGGAGTAAGAGCAGCGCAGGAAGAACAAGGCTAGACAAAATAGCCATAGAGGGTGGATATCTGCCCAGCTCTAGTTCTGATTAAGGTTTAAGATAAGCATAAAAGTTTTGTGTCTTTTATCCTGGAACTAAATGATCTAAGGCCAGGTAGAAACCCCCTATTGAGATTAAATATTTGCCACAACAAACCTCATCTGGCATTACCAAGCTTGTGCTGCAGCCTGGAGATAGCTTCTCAGACCCAAGCCACCTCAAATATGCCGCAGCTCAGGGAGCCCAAAAGATTCCCTCTGAATGATATCCACTGGCTCTAGTTGGGGCTGGATGGGGGCCTGGAACTCTGAGGCTACAATGAGAAACTGCCATTGGCCTTTCCATTGCCCAATTCAGCTAACTCAGAGCAAAATGACTGTTGAGTTTCCCAGGGAACATCCTGAACACTAGCTAGATTGTGGGGAGGTAGAGTCTTGGCAACTCCCATAGGAGAGCAAGAAGATGTGTACCTGTCTGCTCTTAGACGGGGTGCTGACTCTAAAGTGTGGGTACCCGTCTAGGCTGATCAGAAGAGGCCTACACATGAGATATGGGTGACCCAAGCCCAGAACACCAAGAGACAATGGTTCTTTTGTTTGTTTTTGGATTTTTGAGAGTCTCACTTTATACCTCTAGCTAGCAGGAACTCACTCACTCTGAGAGATCTGCCTGCTTCTGCTTTCTGACTGCTGGGATTAATGGTATGTGCCACCATGCCCGGCTCTGGGAAGCTTTTATTGAATAGTAATTCAAAATGCTATTTTTATATTAAAACAATAATTGTAAAACTGGGCATAGTCATACACACTTGGAAGGCAGAGGCAGGCAGATCTTTGTGAATTTGAGGCCAGTATGGTCTACAGAATGAGTTCTAGGACAGCCAGAACTACACAGTGAGACCTTGTCTTGGTTTTTCGAGACAGGGTTTCTCTGTGTAGCCCTGGCTGTCCTGGAACTCACTCTGTAGACCAGGCTGGCCTCAAACTCAGAAATCCACCTGCCTCTGCCTCCCAAGTGCTGGGATTAAAGGCGTGCGCCACCAAAGCCCGGTGAGACCTTGTCTTGAAAACCAACCAAACAAGAAAACAGTAAATATTTGTTGTCATGGAAAGAAAAAAGAAAAAAAAAAAGCATGATTATTTTCAAAGATTGACAATAGAGACTTCAAAGATGCTTATCTCAGGCAGGGCTTGTGGCACAGAGCTGTAGATCTAGGGTAGGGGTGGGCACCAAATATGCATCTGCTTGATCCCTGGGATTACTTCAGTGACATCCAGGTAAGTGTGATGCTGTGGACCTCAGATGATGGCCTTTCCTACCGGCTGCTATTCACCTGGGAACACCTAGTACCACTGCTCCATACAACAGCTGCAAGTTCTTGTTAAGTGTGCAATGAAATAGAATAAGAAATGCTCCCCTCCATCTGACCGAATACCAGAAAATGCCAGAGAAACCCAGGAATCTGGAAGAGGGAACTGGAAGTCAGGACTGAGATTAAATTTGAAAAACTCAACTGCAAAGGAACAGTGGTTGCCAGGCTTGATGGCACACACATTCAGTCTCAGTCCTTAAGAGGAAGAGGCAGGAGGAGTATCACAAATTCGAGGCAAGCCAGCCTGGTCTCCATAGTTCAAGGACAGTCAGCACCGAACACTAAAACCCTGTCTCAAGACAAGAGGAAGATGGCTCATCGGGTAAAGTACTTGCTGCACATACAATGACCTAAATGCTGGTCCCAAGAATCCAATGAAAATGAGACACAGTGGCACAGTGTAATCTCAGCATACCCTACCAGGAGGTGGGAGACATCCAGGAGAATCTCTGAAAGCTCCAAGACTAGCTAGCCTGGTGTATGCAGCAGTAACTACAAAAAATTCCCTTGTTTCCAACAAGATGGTAGGCAAGGACTGATGTCCAAAGTTGTCCTCTTACCTCCACATATGAACTGTGGCATATGCACACTCACACAACATTTGTACACATGCTCACAGGCATGTACATGCACACACGATCGTGTTCATGTGCACACACATACACGGGTCGGGGGGGGGCAGGATTTAAAAACAAAACCAAAAAAAATGAGAGTGACAGCCACAGACACAGCAGGCAGTTGGCGACAATGTCAGGTTTAGAGTCCTCATTCCTGTGCTCTCATACCCAACAAGGGTTGGGAGAGGCCCAGAGCAGAAACCCTGTGCAGAAGTAAGCTGATCCAGACAACAGGGCACAAATGGAGACTAGAGAAAGTGTAAACTATAGACAGGAAGACAGAGGCAGTGGGAGGGACCGGTGGGTGGTGGAGAGATGGGCAGGTGAGTGGAGGTGGTGCTGCGTATGGCCTGATGCATAACAGGCGGGTGGATGCTATGTATACACGAACAAGTCGAGAGTGGGAATGATTGTGGATGGATGGATGGATGGATGGATGGATGGGACAGGAGGAGGCTGGATGGAAGGGGTACAGTAATAAGTGGGTAACAAAATGGGTATGTGCCAAAAGAATGAAGATGGCTGTATAGGCACACAAGAAGTCAACTGGAGATGGGCAGTCTGATGGGCAGGCAAACGGTTGAATGAGAGATAAGGCAGATCGAAGGATGGCTGGGGGCCAGAAAGCTGAGCGAAGATGAATGAAAATGGAGAGCTGGATGTGGCATGGTCCCAAAACGCTGGAGACAGAAGCAGGCAGACCTGTTAGCTATCTTGGTCAGAGTAGAAAGTTCAAGGCCAGGCAGGCAGTGGTGGCGCATGCCTTTAATCAGAGGCAGAGGCAGGTGGGTTTCTGAGTTTGAGACCAGCCTGGTCTACAGAGTAAGTTCCAGGACAGCCAGGGCTACACAGAGAAACCCTGTCTTGAAAAAAAACAAACAAAAAAAAAAAACAAAAAAAACAAAAAAACAAAAAAAAGGAAGGAAGGAAGGAAGGGAAGGAAGGAAGGAAGGAAGGAAGGAAGGAAGGAAGGAAGGAAGGAAGGAAGGGAGAAAGTTCAAGGCCA